TATTTGCACATTTTGAATTTTTTGTAGTCAACCATTTTCAGATTAAATAGAAATTATATGGTTTGAAAATATTGTATAAAATGAATTTAATAAAAATAAAAAATATTTTTGTATCAATATTTAATACCAATTTTATTTAATTATGTGTCAAATTTTGTCAATTTTAACTGCAAAAATTAAAACCAGACAAATATTCATGGACAGATGTGGTAGTAAATAAATATGATGTGATAGATGGATAAAAATTAGTAAGATCAAAAGAGATTTTTTTAATAAATCGTGGCAAGATTACGAGACAAATGAAAAGTCAAAGAAAAAGAACTTTTAGGGACGATATATAAATGATACACGAAAATAAATGAAGAAAAAAAAGGGCAAATAGCATTTGTCACTAGTAAGAATGAGAGTAGTGCCCGATCCAAAAAGAATGAGAGTAGTGAAATGACATTCTTACCCATATATACCAAGTTAGCCAGATAACTAGGCGGCATGCATGTATATAATCAACGGTTGGAAACAATGGAAGCCATGATAAAAAGGTCAAAATGGGTATGAATGAATGCATGAAGCCCAATATCAGCAGTATAGATAATTATGGGTAGTGGAAGTAATTATATTTTTGAGTATTCGTTTACTTTTGATTTTTTCTGATTTACCATTTTCAAATTTTGATCTATAATTAAATAAAATATATATTGTATATTAATTAGATAAAATATTACTTTAATAACTATTTTATATAATAAATAAAATAAAATTAGTTTTGTATTAATATCTAATATCATTTTATATTATTTTTATTTAATTTGATGTCAAAGTTTACCAATTTCGATCGAAAAAGGTAAAAAAACAAATATTCAGGGATGGATAGAGTATAATTCTCTCAATTACATTTAATGGAACATTTTGACTTTTTGAGATAAATAAAACTTAAATAAATATAAACATACAAATTAACCCATCAATGAGTCGGTTTTGACGTTCGATTGTGCAATTGGCATGGACTCGAACCATACCCAAACCGGTTGGCTAAGCTAGTAAGCTTCATCCATACCCGACCAAACGTGAACTCAATCCAATCTGAACCAAAGTGCATTATATATATTGCTTGAACTCTCTCCGAAGCGAACTTGTTTTCGATTCTAGTGACTCATTTGGCCTATTTTACCCATTTATAATCTCAATATACAGTGACCCCCGGTCTTTAAACAAATCTAAAATACTCAAAATTAGACCCGACTCGATGCAGATATATATTGGCATTAATTAAAAAGTGTCAATATCAATAAAAAATAATAGTCACTTTATCACATAATTATCCCCTTATCAAGTTAATTAATTAGTTAAATGGAGAATAAAATTACGGGAAAGGACTAATATGGGCCACTTCTTTATGGCTGTTTCGGAAGCGCCACAAAAGCAGAGCCGCACATAATGTTTCCCTATTTTTGGGAATTCAGATAAGACAGAACTGACACGTGAAAAATTAAAATGCCCGTAATTTAACCTGCCCGAGAGGGGCATTTTCGTCCCAAAATTACGGGTGGATGTGCCCCTCCCCTTATCGGCTGCTGGACACCTCATTTCGCGCAGGTCCTATCGGGCAGGGTTCGGGTTTGTTGACTCTTCAGTCAAGCTCAACCCACATACTGTACATGACTACTTTTCAATTTTTCATCATCCAAACGCTCCTTTATCTTCCCAAAATCAAGGCCTTGTTTGGATGCTAGTGAACAGCTAGAGGTAGGTGGAATCAGGGCCCCTCAGAGCATTCACCATAGGGAGGGGGGGGGGGGACCCGCCGCGCCAC